TTTCTGTAGACAGTTGCTTACACAATAGAGCTAGAGATAAAGAGACTGCTAAATCTTGGAAGGAATAATAGACATCACACTTTGAATGAAGCAGCAGGATAGAGACCTTTCCAAACACCTTCCAATAAAAACTTTCAAAGAACTCCTAGTTCTCCCAAAACACAGCTTGAGATTAGTGCAGTAGGTTCCTTGTGAACCTGGACTGTCATACATCCATACATGAACTCCCAATATTCAGCAAAGAAATATATATTAAGACATAAGAACTAAATTTGAAAATCCAAACCTCTCATTTTCCTATTGAGGCTAAAGTTGAAGCAATATAAGATAATGAAGTTCATAGAAGTCAATCACAAGATGGCTAAGATCCAGTCTATTGTGAATTTATTGCATAATGCTTTCAGCTCACAACATTGTATTAATATAATGAGCACTGATGAAGGTCGCTGTTGGGCTATCAGAACTCTCCAAAAGTTTTTGGGTCTACCATTTAGCAATTATACTCCATTGTATATTTTTCTATCTCTATTTTTTTACACACCTGTCCTTTTAAGAAATGGCTGCCAGAAGATGTCTTTTTAAAATTATAGTTTCGCATCTGTCACAACTTTATGCAGTTAAATTTTGTGCATAACTAGAAGAAAATTATAATATTTCATAAAGGCCATGAGGGCCTGCACAGAACAGTCCTGAAGACATTCCACATTGGAAGGAAAATAATTGATGTTGAAAAATTAAAACAAAGGTGAAGTTTCACCTGCTTGTTAAACCAATTGCTTTGTTAGTTTTGCCTAGTATTTCGTGGAAGGCTGGTAGTTATATTCTATTGCTCTCTTCTATGTGTTATTAAGACCAATATGTGAATAAATTAAAACTTTAAAAATCCACAAAACCACAATGAGATATCACTTATCTCTAGTGAGAATGATTTTTATCAAAAAGTCCCCAAACAACAAATGTTGGCATGGTTGCGGAGAGATAGGAACACTCATACACTGCTGGTGGGACTGCAAACTAGTACAACCTCTGTGGAAAGCAATATGGAGGTACCTCAAAGAGCTAAAAGTAGAACTACCATTTGATCCAGCAATCCCACTGCTAGGCATCTATCCAAAGGAAAAAAAGACATTCTGTAATAAAGACATCTGCACTCAAATGTTTATAGCAGCACAATTTATAATTGCAAAGATGTGGAAACAACCCAAATGCCCATCAATACATGAGTAGATTAATAAAATGTGGTATATGTATACCATGGAGTAATATTCAGCCATAAAAAACAATGGTGATCTAGCACCTCTTATATTATCATGGATAGAGCTGGAGCCCATTCTCCTAAATGAAGTATCCCAAGAATGGAAAAACAAGCAACATATGTACTTGCCATCAAACTGGTACTCACTGATCAACAATGGTAATAAATATTCACTGAGTGCCGATTAGGTAGCGGTGTGGGGAGCGGGGGTTAGAGTGGGTGGGGTGAGTAAACCCACAGCTAATGAAGATGGGGCGCACTGTATAGGGAAAGGACATGCTTGTGACCCTGGCTTGAGCAAGGCAAATGCATTTCATGTAACCGAAATGTTGGTACCCCCATAATATCCTGAATTTAAAAAAAATGTTGTGGCTGGTTTGATCTTCTATGCAGAGTGCTCAAACTTTCTCCATTTCAGAAATAAAACTGTTTAACTTTCTTACCATTGATGTGTTCACTGGAGTGATGCTTTCAATTTATTTCAAGAACTTTTCCTTTACGTTCACAACATAGCTGCTTGGTGTAAGAAGCCTAACTTTCAGCTGATCTTAGCTTTAAATATGCCTTCCTCACTAAACTTAATCATTTCTAGCTTTTTATTTAAAGTGAGAGACATACGACTCTTCCTTTCACTTGAACACTTACTGGCCATTATAGGATTATTGATTGGCCTAATTTCAATGTTGTTGTGCCTTACGAAATAGGAAGGCCCGAGAAGAGGGAGACACATATGAGGACAGCTGGTCAGTGGAACAGTCAGAACACACACTACATTGGTTGATTAAGTTCTGTGTCTTACATGTGTGCAGCTCATGGTGCTCCAAAACAACTCCAATAGTAACATCGAAGATCACTGACCACAGATTATCATAACAGATATAATAATAATGAAAAATCTTGAATTGTTGAATTACCAAAATGTGACACAGAGACTTGAAATGAGCATGCACTGCTAGAAAAAATGGCACTGACAGACTTGCTCAACACAGGATTGCCACAAACCTTCAATATGTAAAAATTGCAATATCTGTGAAGCACAACAAAAAGCAATAGTACTTCACCATCTTGGTTTTCACCTATATTCATAACTTTATTTTTCAATTTATTTATTGAAAATACACACACACACACACACACACACACACACACACACACACACCAAGTTTGACCTCTTCTTTTACGGGCCTTTAATTCCACCAAAGGGCAAATTTCCAAGTACAAGTAACCTGGTGATTTATTCAGTCCAAAGCATGTGGGAGAGGTTGAATCACTCAGGGTTCAATCAGAGAATGAGAAACACTGTGGGTGAGACACATATAATAAGGGACTTATAATAGGGTCCAAGCCTTATTTAATTGTGGGATCTTGTTAGCCAGTCTTAGTAAGGCTTTTGCCTCTGCTTCGGGTGCTAGAGCCTGAAGTGATCAGGCCAGTCAGAAAGGAAAGATGAGTGTGAAGTGGGGGAAGCAAGGATAAATGAAAATCCATGAGGAATATCTGGAACTCACAAGGACTGACTGGAACTCTTGTTGATCTTTCACTGCCTCCAAACCTCCAACTTCAATGACATGAGTGCCCTCTAAAAGTGGACGCTCTTTTTCATGGAGTTAGTGAAGCTGAAGAAAAATTTGAAGGAGAGCTGGAGCAGTTGTGGCCCCAGCTGCAATCCCACTCCAATAAGGTAAGCCAGCACATAAGCAAAAATGTTCATGAGCTTCAGCAGCACCTGATGCCCCAGCTCCTACTTTCTGAGCATAAAACCAATATGGCTACTGCTTAACCTTTGCCTTCCAAATCTTTCACCAAATGCCTCTTGGAGCACAAGCAATCTCAGAATCATGCAGGGAACTCTGAACAAAGTTTTAGCTTATAGCTGGGCGCAGTGGCTCACACCTGTAACCCTAGAACTCTGGGAAGCCAAGGCGGGAGGACTGCTTGAGCTCCGGAGTTCAAGGCCAGCCTGAGCAAGACTGAGACCCGTCTCTACTAAAACTAGCCAGGTGTGGTGGTGTGAGCCTGTACTTCCAGCTACTTGGGAGGCTGAGGCAGGAGGATGGCTTGAGATGAGGAGTTTTTTTTCTTTTCCTTTTATTTTTTTTCCTTTTTTATTTTTATTTTATTTTAGCGTATTATGGGGGTACAAGTGTCAAGGTTACTTATATTGCCCTTGCCCCCCTCCCCCCTCGAGTAAGAGCTTCAAGCATGTCCATCCCCCAAACGTTGCGCATCTTACTCTTTGTGGTTGTATACACCCCTCCCTTCCTCCCCCCTCCCACCCTCCCAACACCCAATGAGGCTGCAGTGAGCTATGATAGCAACACTGCACTCTACCCTGGGTGACAGAGTAAGACTCTGTCTCAAAAAAAATAACAGGAAAGGTTTTAGCTTAGCTAAGTTGGCAGAGTATAAATCCCCCAGAGAGGCAGGCTTGCTTCCAAACAGCAAGCAGAAAAATAACTAAATAAATCGGTTTTTGCTATTTTTCTAACACTCATTTTCATGCAAAATTTCAAATGATGTTTTTCTAATGTTTTGTTAATGTTGTCAGTGGTATCCATCCCATGAAGTTATACATGATGCCCCAAACTTGGGATTCTAGTTTATAACTATCTTCTCCTTATGCCGTTTTAAATGACAGCATTCAGCTCAGTCTCATTGCATTCTCCACATTAAGTTCCCTTTTGGAACTCTTAAGGTTGTTTCCTGACAGCAGCCCTTGGTAGGGGTCCTTGGTAGGGGTTTCTTGGGGCCCCCAGATCCCAGGGCAGTTGTTCCTAACTTTGAATCTCAGTGAGTAGGAACTTTGGTCAAGCCATCTTCCGTTCCAAAGTCTAATCTCATTATGCAAATTTCTATACTTGCTTCCAAGGGACCAGAGATAATACCTATTTCAAGGAGTATTATCAAAGGAAAGCCAATGTCAGGGTATAGGATGTTTCATTACATCCTTCTTTCCCAATGAAAGTCTACAAAGAAGGGTGTGTTATAGTTTATGGGTGTTGGGGAGGAAGGTGATCTTTTGCATTTAGCTACACAAGTAACATATATAAAACAAAAATAAAAATTATTGAAGAGTAATTGGATATCCAGTACCCAAAATTTACATTAATAGGATTTTTCTTCCAATTATATCAAATGGTTGTCTATAAGCATAAACAATTTTTACTGCAACATTATTATTCTTAAAAGTTAATTGAAATATATATTTTCAAATATGAGGGTTTCTTATACTCCTGCCTGGCATCTTACAAAAGATAGTTGTCCCAGGAGGACTTCCTAGAAGGTAATCCTGTGGGAGTTCTTACCCATAAAACTTCAAGAAAATTTGAAAGTGCAGAGTGAACAATTTCATGTGATTACATTTAATTTACTTCTTACCAGCTTCAGTGTGGTCAAATTAATCAATATTATTAAACTATAGATTCAGAAAATGTAGCTAACCCCAAGTTATCTATTCTAAGGGGGTGAATTATCTGGTTAGAAATTTATCTACCCACCATTTTCTCTTCTTTTCCTTTTCTGAGTGTGCAGGTGTGTGTGTGCGACGCCAAGTGTCAGTATTCAAGGAACAAAACCATGGTTTGTTTTATTTTACTTTACTTGTAAAGAATAAACACATTTCTGAAATTATAAAGTCAACTGAAGAAATTGATCTTCAGAATAAATTGCCAGAGATGAAAAAAGGCAAAAAGGTCATAGTTATCAGAATATCAGAAATGAGAAGATATATCTAATAAAGTTATTAATTGTTTCAACAAAATTAGGAAACTTTCGAGGTCAACTATAAGGGAATATAGGAAAAAAGGCACAAATAAATTGCTTATGCATTCATATAGAGATAAAAGGCAATAAAAGAGGAATAAAGAAACCAATTAAGAGGGAAAGAACCAGAGAAGAAGAATGTGGGAGGAAGGAAGGGAAGTAGGGAGGAAGGGGATAGAAGAGATTATCTTGTGGAAAATAAAAGACAAAAGATAAATGTATTAATCTATTAATTAACAAATTAGTCAAACAAATTAGTCTAAATTAGTCAAACTGAATTTTAAAGTCCAGTGTACTAGAGCTGACATCTAGCTGGAATGGGTATGAGGCCTTCAGGATGGCAAGCACTGAACTCGGTCTTGGTTCTCCTCCTCTTCGGACGTATCTGAGGGGCTGGAAGACTCATACAAGTCTCCATCTACGACTCCAACTCCAGGATCTCCCCAGCGCCGTTGGCGACCTCTTTGTGTCAGGTGACGCATAAGGAAACGAAGCATGTGGCTGTCAAACAGGTCAGTGTGGTGCAAGCTATCTTCATCTCGTTCGCGCTTGTTCTTCTTAATCACATTCTTTAGCCCAGTAAGCTCAGTGGAAGCTTTAGCTGTGGGTGCCCAGATCTTGGCATCATGGTCTAGGCCACTGGTTGCCAACACAGGCAGGCAAGGGTGGGGCTCAAGACAGTTGACTGTGCCTCCCTTATCACCCTCCATGAACTGAATGATCTGGCAGGATGATTTCTCCCAGAGGAAGATGTGCCCACAATCACTACCGCTCACTACAAACTCACTTCCAGGGCCATAGAAATTGACGCCTTTGATTGTGGCATTATTTCTGTGCCCCTTATATCTCTTAACATATTGAGCACCATCATCATGAGAGGAATTGAAGAGGTAAATATCATCATCATTGTAGCTGGCCAGGAGCTCTGTGCCATCGTGGCTGTACACGAGGCAAGTGATATTTGCTTTGGAATCACAGTTAATCAGGTGATGAGGACAAAATTTCTTGAGTACTCCATTGTTCTCATTCAGATCAATCTTCCTCTGGTCATAAATCCTTACAAACTGATCTTGTCCACCCACTGCAAATTGGTAGGTATTGACAGGATTCACATAGATTGTGTACAGTCCCACTTTCTTCTCTCTCTCTTTGGTTACCACCACTTTTGAAGCTGGCCTGCCTTGTCTGAGGTCAATGGTGAAAACAACTGCATCTTCACCTGAACTTAGGAACTGAAAAGGGGAGTCTGGCTCCAGAGCCAACTTGTGGGAGGCTCCCTTGTGCTGGGCCACACGCTTAGTATTCTTGCTGTATGGCATAGTAGATAGATCTGCTATTCGTACCTGGCCATCACGGGCACATGTGGCCAGGATGGAATCACCACAGTTAGGAAGGAACTTAGCCTGAAAGACATTATTTTTGTGGCCACTCTCAAAATCAAGTACAGCACGCTGACGCATCCAGTCCCACACTATCACCTTCAAGTCATCACTGCTACTGGCCAGCCAAGTGCCACGCTGGTTAAAGTGCACAGTATTCACACAGCCGGCATGACCTTCAAGACCATACTGCAGGTGGAAACGCTGCACAAACGCTCTGGCGCCACAGGCCTCATATACAAAGCGGGTACTTGAACCCAGCTGCCGCTGCCGAAGAGCAGTAAGAACTTGCCAGCGAGGTGGGGGCAGGGCCGATGTCTCTGAGGATACCCAGTCCTCCAGGGCCCGATCCTCATCTGCTAAAATCTGCTGGTTGGTCTCACTGCACCTTACACACGCCTGAGGCTGCTCCTCCTCTTCCTCCTCCTCCTGTATCTCCAATTCTTCCTCCTCCTCTTCCTCCTCCTCCTCTATCTCCACTTCTTCCTCCTCCTCTATCTCCACTTCTTCTCCCTCCTCTATCTCCACTTCTTCCTCCTCCTCTTCCTCTTCCTCATCCTCTTGCTCCTCCACATTATACTGGAACAGGCTTTCACCACCGATACCGAAATGGTCAAAGTCCTCTATGTTATCAATGTCAATGTCCTCACTTGAATTTTCTGTGTCTGTTCCTTGACTTTCTACGCTGGCATAGTTGAGGAAACCACCATCCCCGGTACCGTCACCATCTCCGGTCAATCTCAGATTCTGTTCTGAGGCCTCCATTTCACTATCTAAGTATGGCTCCCTCCCCGCCATTGCTCCAGACCTCTCCTCGGCGCTGCTGAGATGGCTTCCATCTTCTAAGTCTGGTAGGCTGCCTGTGGTGCTCTCTTGGCGAGACATTTTGAACAATGTTTGCTATAGCTGATCTGGAACAGGAAAAGCTGACCCTTAGTAGCCAAGGGAAGTGAGAAGGCCTGTGGTGAATGAGGACAGACCTGAGGAGAAAGTACGCTAGCGGCACGGAGACGCCAACGTGGTGGGCTAAAGCGGAAAAGGAAATGAGCGGCTGAGGCAGTTACGCAAACGGAAGCCGGTGAGGTTCAAAAGACTTCTGCCTATATTGCGTCCTCGCAGCGTCCAGAGACTGCTCTGATTTTTCCAGGCTCAGAGCCCCACTCCCACAGCCATCTTACTCTGTGAGCAGCTGTGCATGCCGTTTCTTTGAAAATTGAAACTTGCCGCACTTTCGAAAATATTCTTATTAAAGAACCATCAAAAGTGATCCTCCATAGGCAAATATTTTTCAGAAGATTCTCAGTGCTTTGCTAGAAGATAATGTGCAATATGAGATGTAGGTAAGAGCAATGAAAGATTAGTAGTTAAGGTTCCCACAGCTAGTGACTTCCTGTCATACAAGAAACATCTTAAGAAATTTGAACAGCTTGAGGGAAACACTGAGAGCTCTAACTGGTAGAATCAGTATAGAGTTGCCAGATAAAATACAGGACATTTTGTTAATTGCATTTCAGATAAATAACGAATACTTTTTAGTATGACTAGATCTCAAATATTATGTTAGACATACTTCTGCTAAAATTTTATTATTTATCTGAAATTCAAATTTAACTTGGTGTATTTTTATTTGTTGTTTATTTGTTTTATTTGTTATTTATTATTTATCTGAAATTCAAATTTAACTTGGTGTATTTTTATTTGTTGTTTATTTGTTTTATTTGTTATTTATTATTTATCTGAAATTCAAATTTAACTTGGTGTATTTTTATTTGCTATATTTCGTAGGCTTCATTAGTGACAAAAGGAATTTAGTCCCTCAATTTAATCAAGGTTGAAATCAACTGGTCAATTGAAATTGGACACTGTAATGAGTAATTGCTTCACCAATTTGAGATAGAAGTACATTCTTTTTTTCTTATTCCTCCAGAGATTCTATATATTTATTTGGAGTTAGATACTTAAGATACTTAGGGAATGCCAACATAATTTTATGAAAAAATTCTATGATTGTTATAGAACAATCAAAATATTTTATATATCTTTCAAAATATGTCAGAAGCTTCTTTGGGGCCTTTTAAGAAAGAAAACAGGTCTACAGAGACAGTTAATTGGCATTGTTGTGTTAACTTAAGAGCTTCTCTGAATGAATTACCCACGGTGATGCCAGTATATTTTCTAAGGGCTCTAGTAAACTGCTGACTAAGAATGCCAGAATGAAGACAACAAGGTTTCCCTCAGATTAATTGCAAAATAAACCAAAATTGATTAAACATAGTAGTATACAATCTTCTAAAGAGAGAGGATGGTTCCAAATCCAATAGTAATGCAAAGATATGTAGAAGAATATTCATAGCAACTTGTATAAAATAGCACAGCAAACTAAAAACCACCTGAAAGCTCATCAAGAGTAACATGGATAAATAAATTAGCATATATTTCTATATTTGAATAATGTACAGAAGTGAGAATGAATAAATTAAAATAGAATATGTCAACATGGATAAGTCTTAAAAACACAGTGATGAGTGAAAACACAAGTGACAGAAGGATAGCCAATAATTTTATTTTTATGCAAGTCTATATAGTTTTCATATGTAATAAAACCATTTAAAAAGGCAAGGAAATAATTGACTCACAATTCAAGACAATGGTTACCTTTTGAGAGGAAAATAAGTTTGAAATCTAGGAAAGAAAAAGCTTCAAAAATTCTTGGTAATATTTACAACTTACCCTGGGAATAGGTATGCTGTTATTCTTTTTTGTATTTATTGCCAGGCATGTACATTTGTATATCCTTTTCTATGTATGACATATTACATACTAGTTCTTTAAAAAAGATAATGCTCATTAACAAAGGATCTTGCTTAGCCATGGAGCATGAAAACAGGAAACCTGGAGCATCAAACCCTAACATGCACATACTGACATTGTCCAGGAGAGGAAATCTTACTGAGTGGCTTTGGATATATCTTATCCCATTGCAAAGAACAGTTACAGTGTTAGAGATGGAATCAGGCTATTTTAACCTGGTGCTATTTTATCAATCTGCTTTTTTTTTTTTTTTTTTTCATTAATCAAACTTTGACTATGAATTGGCTTTTCATTTATGTCTGGCTTTACATCTAATTGATTCATTTGGTATGTTTCCATTCTCATTCATTCATTCACCACACATTTATTCAGGGATTCTATATGCTGTGTACTATTCTAGGTACTGATAATATAGTGGTAAATAAAAGTGGCACATCCTTCACTAATGAAGTATATGATATAGTGGAGAAAAGAGACAATAGACAAATCAATACACAGATAGACTAGATGAAGTAGTAATGAATATTATGGAGACAAATGAAGCTGTGTACATGCATATAGAGTATAGGTTTTTATTCTGGTTAGTGCATTCAGGAAAGGTCTTCTTCGTGGGGTGACATTTAAGTAGAGGGCTAAATAAATAGTGAAATGGATCCTCAAATGTCTAAGGTAAGAACATTCCCTATAGAATAACATTGAGTGCAAATTCTCTGAGATAGTGGCACAATATGAGTGTTCATGGAACTGCAAAAAGCCTGTGATTGAAACATTGCAAGTAAGCATTAAGGGACAGGGCGATGGGATTGAAAGAAGCCTTGCCCAACTAAACAAAGCTTTGTTGGCCATTATAAGAATTTAAGGTTTTATTTTATTCTAAGTGTGCTGGAAAACCTTTGGAAGCTTGTCAGTAGAGTACTGCATTATGTGAATTACTTTCTAGAAAGACAACACTGGCTGCCTTGTGGAGAACAGCATGGGATGGGAAGAGAGAACATAAGTTCATAAGAAAGAACATAACTATTGCCCTAATCTAGGGGAGAAATTAAAGTGGCTTAAACTAGAGAGGGAATGATGCAGGTGATGGAAATTAGTTATATTTGGAATATTTTGAAAGTTGAAATGACAGCATTTAGTGATGAGCTGGATGTGAGTGTAAGGTGAATTAGTCAGGCTACTGGCAAAAAATACATACCAGTTGGATAATTTGAAACAGTTCAACAAGTGGCCTTTCTAAATATAAAGGTGAGAGCAACCTGTAGGGAGAGCACAAGGGAAAGACTGGGACCTCAGTGCCATTATGAACAGAAAGACATTATATCCCTAAGCCTAAAGGTATGGAGGAGAAAGAGCAAGTTATCAAAAACCTAAGACCAACAGTGCAGTGTAGAGAGTCTTACTTGGCATTAGCATCCCTCAATGAGCCCATGGTGAGGTAGGCAGTAAATATTAATAAATTCCCCAAATTCATCCTCCTCTCTCTGCTCTCCTGCTGCCACCCACTGAATCATGCAAAGAAGGAAGGAGAAGGAATTTGGATGGGCAAATGTAAGCTATCCAACCTCTGGGGGACACATAGGAATCAATGATAACTCCTGTGTATTTGGCAGGACCAATGGGTTAATGTTGATGCCATTTACTAGAATGAGAGCTAGGGAAAAGGATGGGGAATCAAGAGTTCTCTTTTATTTATATCAAGTGTAAAAATGCACACTAAACATTGAGAAAATAGAAGTATCAAGTTGGGAACTGTATACACACGTCTGGAGTTTGTAGGAAAGATTATAAATGTAGATATAAATTTGGAAGTCATTAGCTACTGGGAATAAAGGAGATCACCTAGGAAGTGAATATGTAGTGAGAAAAGCAAAGATCTCAGAACTGGGCACTGGAAAACTCCAACATTTATTTTAGGAAGAAAAAGAGAAAACAACCATATGGAGCAGAAGGAGAAACTAGTTATGTAGGAGAAAAACATGAGAATATGAAGAAGTATAGAAACTATTTCACAAAGGAGGGAGTAATCAGTGTGCCAAATACTGCTGAGAGGTAAAGGTAAGGCCTGAGAACTAACCATTGGAGGTTAGGCCTGAGAACTAACCTCATTACAGGGAGGTAACTAGTGACTTATTGAAACTCTTATAGGAATTATGAGAACAAATCCTTGGCCAGAAAAGTTTAAAGAGAGAAAGGAGAGGGAAGAAGTGAAAAAAGTGAGTAAAGACAGCTCTTATAAGGAGTTTTGCTGCAAAGAAGAGAAGAGAACTGGAATGCTAGGAACGGGAAATGAGACCAAGTATTTTTTTAAAAAAATCATGGCTATTACATGATATTATGTGCTAATGACAATGATTCTGTAGTGAAGGGGAAAGCTGTAATGCAAAAGAGATAGAGGAAATGTCAGGGAGAAAGTCTTAAACAGGGGAGAAGAAATAGGATTGAACACACAGGTAGAGAACTTGTAACAGGAGGGGGGACAAAATATTTGGCACAGAGGAAGGCAAGCTGTTAGATTTGATGGTTAAAAGAATATGCATATTCTCTTCTAATTGCTTCTATTCCTGAATCGAATAAAGAAACAAGGAAATCAGCTATGAATGAAGAGGACTAAAGTTGTGCTGGAACTTTGAGGCAGAGGAAAGATTAGAATAGCCAACTCAGAGAATGGGAGATTAAGCCCAACAGGGAAATAGAGATTTGTTACCTGGAAGCGGAGCAGTCCACTTGTGGTTTCATGCCACAAAAGTAAAGTGAGACAACAGTATTTGTTATTCTCTGACCATTTCAGATGCTTGAGGGCAGAAATGGAGTAGACAAATACCTGGATTCAAGCAAATTCGAAATTATTTTGCTAGGTGAGCATGACAGTGAGTTTTGGGGGAGGGCAAAGGAACTTAGATTCTACACAAGTAAATTATTATAATAACAAACCATAGAATTTAATTATGTTAAAAAAGGAATTAGAGACATGAGGAAGAAGATGAAAAGGGCAAACATAATACAGTAGGGTCAGCAGATTAGAGGTCCCAGTGGTATTAAAGTTTGCTGTGATTAGCAAATGTGTTCAACCAGGCCTGTAAGTATATATAAAGCTTAGGAGAACAGGATGATCCAGAATATTATCATCTATACTCAAGCTATTAAATCAAAGGCAATTTCAAAAAAAGATTAAAATAGTCCACTCTAAGACATGGCTTAATCTTCC